ACCTTTGGTAGGCTTAAGTTTCTAGTCTCCATGTCTATCTGTCCCTTTTTGTTCAAACATTAGAAAAATTCAGTCCCTGAGATATTTCTTAAATGAACTTCATCCCATCATCTTTTGGTCTGTCCATTGGGAGGGGGGAGGTTCTACTCATCTTGCAGGGTTGTTGAAGTTGTGGTACTTAACCTTGGAACCAATCTCAAGGTACCTGACATCTTTGTGGCAAAATTTCTGTTAGTCCTGAGGCAGTGTGTCTCCTCATAATTTGCTATTTGTGAACTCTAGATTGCATGCCACTCTCTCCTGGCATCTGATAATACTTTATATTCATGTAACTGGCTATTATTTTTCAATACAGAGCAATAAAGTGAATATTACATCATTGGATGGATAAACTTTAAAACAGTGTCTTGTGGAGGCATTTGCATAGCTTTAAATACTAGAAGAATTTCCTCTACATATAAAAAAAAATCTTTTTAACCACAGTTGGTATCTCAACACCAATCTCCCTAACACATTTGTTAGTATTTGTATTATGGTTTCATGATCCTGGTGTATTTGTGCAAGAGGATGTAAAAGTTGTTGCTTGACCATGTTTTTATGTTGTCTTTTTCTGCCTCTGGTGAAGTGTTCTTGTTGCATTTGGTTTGTGGATACAGTGAGTTGCCGTATCACATACTCTTTTGAGCTACTATAAATATTCACTAGTGGAAGGTAGAATGCTATATTAGTATGTAGAGAAATATGCTTCTTAAGCTAATATGACTAGCCTTAAAAAGCAGTTGCAGTTACTTTGGGAGAAAGTTTGGCTGTTTCTTAAAAAGTGAAACATAGATTGATGACCATTTCACTCCTAGATATCTGCTGTTAGAAATGAACATAGGTATCTGTCAAGGATAATAGACCAGAATTGGCAACAGCCCAAATGTCTACTAACTACGAATGGATAAACCTAATGTATATACATCTAATAGAATATTATTCAGCAATATTCCAACATGAATGAACCTCAAAGACAGTATGATTGCTGCAGGCTACTCAAAATACATATTGTATAATTTGATCCTTATTAAAAATTCAGAAAAGGCAGATTTTTGTTTCTTTGGTAAACATGAATGGTTCCCTGGCAATGGGAGCAAGTATTGAATACTGATGGCAATTTCTGAGATAATGAAAATATTCGGAAATTGGGTTGTGGTGATGATGTACAATTTCTGTACATTTATTATAATCATTGAATTATATATTTAGAATGGATTAATCTTACAGCATGTAAACTATATCTCAGTAAAACTGTTTAAAATACCAATCAGGATGAATTTTTGTTAATTGAATTAAGGGAAACCTTGCTTGACAAATGAAAATGGATTGTTTTTAGACCTGTAATCTTTTAGATAGAAGGAAAAAAGTGATTGCTTTGAGTGGGTAAAGAGCAGATGGAATCCTTCACTTTTGCCTTTGAAACCTAGAGTAAAAGTCAAAGATGTCATCAGATATCATTACTTAAATTTTGCATTTTTCTATATTTTGTGTCACCAGTGGTTACTGAGTAAATTGATGATATAAAACCTTTCTGGAGCAGTTTGTCAAGGACCTTAGTATTTATATGCTATTAAATACTTAGGATTTTTATATACCATAATTCCACATAAAAATATATGCTAAGGAAATAATTAGATGTAGAGACAAGGATTTATATTTGGAAATGTTTGCAGTAGCATTCTATATAGTATAATCAAAAATTGGTAATAACCTAATGCTTTCAAGCAAGGGGGGAATGATAATCATTGTTTTAGTTTTGGCTCTCTTGGTGGCAAGGAGTGAATTCCTTTCTGACTTGCTTAAATAAAATTGGTTTTTATTGAAAGGACACAAGAACTTCAGCACCAACACAGCAAGATCAGGGAGGCCTTTGGGCATTGGTGAACTAAAGCTGCCTTCTCCATTTCTCATTCTCATAGGTCAGACTGGTAATTTCTGTTTGCTCTGCAGACCTGCTTTGTCCTCAGCCTTTACAGTCATTCTTTCTTGTACATGGCTCCATGCTGTTTGCTGTTTGCCAACTGTTGTTTAAATGAGTATTTGTTGCAGTTTTTCAGATTTCCAGAACTGGAATTGGGGCCATCATCTCTGAAGCCATAAGTGGGTCAGTGAACAACCAGTGATTTGATCTTCTCCCCACCCCCTCTTTAGGGGCCTATATTCAGGCTTGGTAAATGAAAATGAAATAACATTGGGTAATAAGATTGCTGTAATGCATCTTATGGGCTTTTGTAAGAGATCCCAAATATTAATATCAACTGAAAAGTATTTGGGAGACCTTCTATGGCATAAACTCTTCATTCATACTCTGAAAAGGATAGTGTGCATTTATGGTAGGTTAACACTTACTCTCATTATTCCTTACTAAAACGTCTGTGTTCTGGTTTCCATCCTTTCTTTCTTATTAAAACCCGTCTTAAGTAAATCTGGCGATTGTAAATCTGTTGAATACCATGTCCAGTTATCTCCTGAAATGGCTCTCTCTGGACATGGTTTCAGTAATACTGCTGTTTCTTCACCTTCAATTGCCTACCATGTCTCTTCAGTGAATCTTCCTGTATTTATCATTAGTACTGCTCTTGCCCTATGTCTGAACCCTCTACTTTTTATATCATATCCATCCTGCACAAATTCTCTTGCCTCAGTGGCTTTAGAGTCTTTATATCCGTAAATCTGTATCTACACCAGATCTTCAGCTGAGATTCTGACTGACAACTACCAGCTTTTTTGATATCATCACTAAGGACTCTGAGCAGCTCTGACCATTCTCTTTTGGATGATCATAACCTTCAGTACCTCTGATTATTCTCTGTGTCTTTATGTGCTGTGTCCTATTGAACTTTATATTCCTGTTAGCACATAGAAGAATTCCTTGCACAATGGGTTCAGTCAGCATTTGCCCACTTGTATATTCCTATTTTATAAAAGGGACTAATATACTTGTGAGTTTATTGTCACTCATGTACTAAATTTTATTTTAAATCTAAGAATAATTCCTATCATATTTTATGTGTTTCAAGTTAACCTTAATGTTATGAATATCTTTAGTGAAAATACTTTTCAATATATTTTGGTTCAGTAATCTGAACTTTTCCTGAGGAAAAACATAGAACCTACTGAATTTTGGACACTAATCATATGTGGATTTAATTTCTGTACTATAAACATGTTTTGTTACTCCAAAAGAAAGAAGTATTCATTTAAAAAAAATCCAGCCAATTAAGTATGGCTGCTGATTGAAGGCTCAGTGCTTAGTTACTGTGTAGGGGAAGCAGTAATTAAAATAACTGAGTATTCAAAGTATATTCTGATACTTGCATAGGGTTTGTTTGCAGCCATGGTATTAGTTCTAAAGGTTTGAGCACTTTATTCCTTTTTTCTGAAGCAAACAATTTGGTGAGACAGTAGATATAGTCTGAATTCACATAAGAGAGGTAGTGTAAAGTCAGTGAAGTCGACTTGTGTGTGTGTATTATATATATTATGTGACATTTACTAAAGTTAGATTTGGGAAATCTTGTGAGCAGCATACACTTGTAATGAGTTGACAGCTATTGGCAAAATCAGTTCACTCAAAGAAATGTTGAACATGTATTCTGGGTCCAGATAAAAAAACAGGAAGATAAGAAAAAAAAAAAAACCAGGAAGATAAAGAAACTAGTAATGTGCTTCTCCTTTTCATTTGACCATTTTAGACTGAATATATTTGATATTTGTCATAAATAGATAGAATAACAGAGTCTTAGTTATCATCCAGGCTTTTGTGGTTTAGTGGAATTAGAACTATAAATGGTCATCAGGTTTGGAACCTTGGGGAAGGAACATTTGACCATACAGTGAGTATGTTAGTTTTGTGGTTATAGTATTAACTGCTAGGGGAGTGGGTCACATAGACAAAAACCATCCATACTTATAAATCTTGAAACAGGCCTCATGTTGAGGTCTCCTGCTAAACTATGTCTCTGCTAAACTATGTCTCTTCTATAAAACAGTACTAGTTGGTATGTTGCAGTATTAATCAGTAAGCCAGTTCAGTGAAGTAAAGTTTCAAGTAAAAGTTAATGAGGTAAGAGTGAAATGTGATATTTAGGGGAAAATATTGAAGGCGAAAGCAGCTGTCTTTTAGATGCTGTTGTGCTGCACTCTTTTGTCCATCTTTTCTTAAAAATTTTGGTTTAGGCTTAGATTCCTTTTCATGGAAGCTCTACACTTGCAGTAGACAGTACAGATAGTAGTGGAGAAAACTATTTCTTTACATTGACAGCTTAGCCAGTGGCAGTGACCTATCTAAATGTGAGAGTAGTACAGAGATAAATCGGGAGGGGCCTCCCTGGTGGCACAGGAGTTAAAATCTCAGCGCTATTAAGCTATCACTAGCCCCAGGTAGAGGGCTGACCCACATGGCACAGCAGACCTTTCCTGTCTCACCCACTGCTCCCCTCAGCCGGGTATTTCAGTCAATCGCCTGTTCTATTCTGTTTCATACTCTGCCTATGGTGGATCCATTCAACCGTGCACCTCTGACCTACAGTCCAGTTCTTGTATACATAAATAAATAAAAATAAATCATTAAAAAATGTTTTAACTTTGGAGGCAAAGTCTGTTACAAATTGTTTTGAAAACAGTGTTGAAAACATGGTGATGAAATGACAAGATCAGAGGGGATTTTTTTTTTCTTTCTCTGAAAATCCATTTAGTATATTTGGGCAGAAACAAAGAGAAGATGATGTTCTTGGTTACATTGGCTAATAGAGGACTTAGAAGCTTTGCTTCCTGTAGAGAGAAATCTTTAAACTATAATCTTTCTAAATTCTGTTGCATGCATTGCTGCATTTCTTTTTATATGTGCTATTTATTTTCAAGGCAAATGCATTTTAAGCACAGTCTCTGGGATAACTATTGCCATTATGTAGTTGTGATATTTTTATTTTAATGATATTTTCATTTATTCCCTTTACTAGCTGGATTGCCTTTTGCAATTCTTACTTCAAGGCATACCCCCTTCCAACGAGGATTTTTCTGTAGTGATGATTCCATCAAGTACCCTTACAAAGAAGACACCATATCTTATGCGTTATTAGGTGGAATAATCATTCCATTCAGTATTATCGTTGTAAGTTAAATCCACTTTTCCAAGTTTATCACTATTGGAATTGGCTTAATTTTGTATTAATTTGTTAATGATTGAATGTATATAACCCTTTAAAACAGGTATACTTTTAAAATCTTTACTTGAAGGTATTATTTGATCAAGATAATAGGAGCCAAAGAATAACAGTGTATAATTAGAAAAACCTACTGAATGTGTGTTTATTTTAAGCTAATCTTTTCAGTTACTGTGATTTTTTTTTTTAGAGCTGTATTTGCTTTTGTGTCTGTAATCATGCAAGATGAGTGCGCTATATCAGTGTTTTCAGCATATGCTTTATAACCTTATAATTAATCTGTATTTATGATCTGCTTTGTTACTGAATTCTAGAATAGAAAAATTGCTATGCTAAAACTTCATTTAACCATTCTGTAAATCATTTTTAGATAATTCTAGAAATGAAAAAGGTAGTCAAAGGTCTATATATAATGAACAGGAACACAAAATAATTGTTACTGGTACTGAAACAATAATAACTATTGTTTGCTAACATTTCAGGTGGGAATGCTTAAAGAATGTGTTCTGAAGAGAAGCCTTCAGTGATGGGACTAGATTTTTAACATCTCAATTTAAAACACACGATTTAAATTAATTTTATGCTCCATAACGTGGAACTTTAGAAATAAATAAGACTTTTGTTCATTAAAAGCAGAAAATACTGGTTTCTCTCAGAGATAGACCAATAGAATAGCAGCATATATATCTTCTCTGATTGGGAGTTTATTAAAAACACCCCACTTTTCTTAATTTAGAAATGTAATGTCTTATTCAAGGGTGATCACAGATCCTTACTACACTGAAAGTTAATCAACTCATAATTTGTGGAGTATAATCAATAAAAGAACACCTTATACAAATGTTCGTTTCTTAAGTCTGAGCTCCTTGAAAGCAGAAATGGTGCCATGTTGCTCAGGATGGAGCTTGACATTTAGTTTCTGAGTGATTATTATTAAAATATAAAATATTAGTAGGACCCTTGGTTGCATATAGTAGTTGATATCAGATGAGATTCAAGTGAACACTGCTACAGATGCACTTGTCTTTCCATTCTACTTTGTATCTCAATAAGAAGGCTGATACTGCACAAGCAAAACTATAGAAATCTACAGACTGGATGGAGGCAGCTGCAGGACAGGGCACCAGCAGGCACTGTGTGGTTGTGCCCAGCCTGTGCAGCAAGTTGCATGGCTTTCTAACACCCTCAGAAAGGACCTTTTTATATTTTATTAACTAGGAAGTTTTGATAATTTCAGCATTTATGAGAACATTTAATAAAACAACAAGCAAATTTTAGTGTAGGTTTTTGAAAAAGAAGAGACCACTAAAAGGTGCTGTAAAAGTACTGTTTTCATATTAACAAAGATAAAGACTGCAGTGGTTTTATGTACAACTGTTAAAATAATTTCAATTTATTCATTAACAGCTTCTTCCAGGCAACACTGAAATAAATGTAGACTGCAGTGGTTTTATGTACAACTGTTAAAATAATTTCAATTTATTCATTAACAGCTTCTTCCAGGCAACATTGAAATAAATGTATAATTAGGTATATAATTACAAAAAACAATAATTCTCTTTCAAAGTAAATTATTTTTGAAAATTAGCACTATGATTCAGACTTTGCGCCAAGACTTTGATGTGACTACACAATAGTGAGGTAGCCTTGTAAAGAACCAGGATTATAGTATTAAAAATCAAGGGAGAATTTCAATAAGGAGGATATGATCATTAATATCAAATATTACTGAGAAGTTAAAGTAAAGGAGAATTGATAAAACTATTTGACATGATGGTACCATTATGATTTTGAGAGAGATTCAGCACATAAAGTGGATGGAAGTAGAGAGATTTCAGGAGTGGAAGTAGCACAGTGATTTTAGACTGCTGTGAGAGGGAGTCCTTGAATGGAAGATGTATAACAAGAATGACATGTAGGGATGTATAACATGATCTTGGTTGGTGGTGATATAAGGGATGTTGAAATACTGTGAACATAGTTTTTAAATGGCTTGAATCATACTGATTTAGAGAATTACTCACTTTGATCTTCAAATGTATTCTGTTTTGCTCTCCCCAAAAGTTATCTTTAGTTCTTTAATAATTTATCCTGTCTTTGGAATTGGAGTAAATAACACATGACAGGTCATCTCGTCACAGGGCAACCTAATGTGAATTGGGTTGCCTGTCTGTGGGTTCTCACTTGTGCACTTAAGATTCAACTGCAGACACATACAAAAGGTCAAAAATGGGCTGATTTATAAGGGGAAAAGGAAAAGAACTCCGAGAAAGCGAGAGAGAAATACAAGTTAACTAATGTGTCCTACCAGTTCTGTTGATCTGGAACCCCAGTAGCATGCTGAAAGCTGATCAAGAACCAAGCAACCAGCTGTCAGCAACGAGGCCAAGAGAGATAGAGACCCTCAGCCCAACATGTCCGGTTTTATATCCAAAAAAAAAAAAGGCTGCTTAACTCCACCCTCCAGTCCTAGCAGTCCTCCCTTTGGTGTTGCTGGGATTTGTAGTTTCGGTGTTTGGAGTGGGGGTGGAGTTCACAAACCCTGTATGTATAGACTGCATTCAGGACATCCTTTCCCCCTAACAATCTCAACTCCAAGGTAGTCTACTGTTAGCTAAAGTGTAGACTACTCCAAAGACATTGATGGCTCAAGAGCAATATGGTTATAAGGTAAAAGAATATAGCTGCCATGTGCAAGTAAGGTACAGACACATTCTTACATTTAAATTAGAAGAATTGATCTATAATTTCCCTATTTCTAAAGATGGAACATGTAATAAAAAGTTAACGTAAGTTGACTTAGCAGTAGAGCCCCCCCCCAACCCACATACTTTCCCAGTATTGAGGGTTAAATTTCATCTCATACTACTTGTATAAATCAGCTTTTGATCTGTGCCTAGTGCTCTAAATGCTCTTAGCAAACTAATTTTCTTTCCAGTGGCAAGAACCAGAGTTGGGGTGACTCTAAACAAGGATCAGTAGGAGTCGGGAGAATTACAAGTTTCTGGGCAATAGTGCTTATGCAGGAGAAACAGCTGGCAACTGAGATGTGGAAGTTTCAGCTACTGTAATTTTGTTTGATTAATATACTTGGTATATATTATAAATTACGAAAGATCAACTCCATAATGAATGGCTAGAGAAATCCTTCCTGCTAATTTATCAAAGCAGCTCCTGGAATGCTTTTAAGAGCAAGAAGAGGCAGTATATACTTTTACATACTGCCATTGGAGGCAGTCAGGTAGAAGCCTGAGCAAAAGTCCAGAGGTATGGTGTCCCTAGCAATATATCTGGTTTCCCTTTCCTGTGAACCAGTTTTCAGAAATGATCTGAAGTTATTCACATTAAGGACTCTATAGAGGTATATATTCTTATGTGACTTAATATATTTAAACTAAAGTTTTTACTTTTGACCTAATACCAGCACTGTCAATTAACTTTTTTGTCTGCCTATCCTGTACTGGGTCACTGTGGTGGCATCAATTTTCTGCTCAATTCTTAAAATTTCATCCTGCTTTTTGCAAGGTTTATAGTCTACTTGTCACAGTTTTAACATTTTAATAATGAAATTCTGGGAGCCATTGAGCCAGATAAGAAAGAATTTTGATAATTATATTTTTGAAATCATTTTTGGGAAGCACATTCTTTCACATTATTTCCTTTCTAAATGGAAATGCTTGTATGCTTTGTAAAATTGCTTATGTGAATTTAAGATGAAGCAGGAAAACTAGATTGTAGTTTAGTCAAAACTTTGTTACCTAATGTTCTCTTTCCTATCAAGTTTAAATTAGCAATTCCAATGTTTTAAGTGTTTCTTTTGGCCTCAGATTGCCAGAGTGTGACTGATTTATCAACAAATTTAATTTTTTTATAATGTTGCTACACAGTACTCTTTCAATTGGTTTGTGAATTTCTAAAGTATTTGGAAGTATTTTTATGCCTTTAAATTTATTACACTGGTGCACACTTTTACATACAGCTCTAGTAGGATTAGGATTAGGAGAGGTTAAACCTCAGTTTTAACAAGAGTAAGTGAAAAGTAAAAAGGGAAGAATTTTGAAATGCTTTCTTGGAGGAGGAGAGACTCGCCTCTGAGTTTAGTCTTTTGGTGAGACTTGTGACAGTCTCCTGGAGAGACAGGTCTAGGCTGCAGTATCTTCCCTGGCTCCTTTGGCCTCAGCATCAGATCCCTGCTTTTCTGTATTAGTTTTCTCTCCTTCAAACGATTTTACTCTTTTAAATATGTTGTATGTCTTTGATTTAAAGGAATAATTGGTAAGACTAAAGAGTCAGATACTCTAGTTGGGAAAGTGTGATTTTTGAACAAACCATGGTTTTTGTCCTCCATGATATTTTGTCTACTTAGTAGATCTCAGTTTATTTTGAATACCAGAAAAGTTTTATTATCTCAGGTAAACTGAACTTAGTTCAGTGTAGTGATTTTCTTTTTATACAATATCCATAACTGATGTTGTGACTATAGTTAATAATACTGTACTGCATGTTTTCAAGTTACTAAGAATTGTTAAGTTCTTACTATAAGACAAACACTTTTGTAACTTGTAGAGAGATGATGTTAACTAGATTGATTGTGATCAATTTATGACATGTACAAATTATGACATGTACAACTAGCAGATGATTATAAATATAATTTATACCTGAACTATAATGTAATTTAAAAGTAAAAGAAATGAAATTCCTGTGGTTACCTTAACATGTTGTTTTTCTTTTTCATTTCAGATAATTATTGGAGAAACCTTGTCTGTTTACTTTAACCTCTTGCACTCGAATTCCTTTATCAGAAATAACTACATAGCCACTATTTACAAGGGGATTGGAACATTTTTATTTGGTGCGGCTGCTAGTCAGTCCCTGACTGACATCGCCAAGTATTCAATAGGCAGACTGCGGCCTCACTTCTTGGCTATTTGTGACCCAGATTGGTCAAAAATCAACTGTACTGCCGGTTACATTGAAAACTACATTTGTCAAGGGAATGCACAGAAAGTTAAAGAGAGCAGGTGAGTGTTAAATCTTAAATGCTTGTTTTATCTCTGTGTAGAAGGTTGCAGGGTGGAGAGATGAGCCGTTCACTAGTTATATAGAGAGAAGCTAGTGTAATCACTGAAAGGTGAACTAAGGTCATATTTTATTGAGATTTATTCTCTTTTCCCCCAGTTTATCTGTATCCTCTTTTAGAGCATTTTAATGTAGTTATTTTCATCTTCATGTATAATAATGTGAAATGAACCTTCTAGATCATATATAGCCCAGCGTCAGCAAATTTTATAAGATGCCAGACAGTAAATTTTCAGGCTTTGTGGACCTTAAGGTCTATCTCAAAACTATCCAATTCTGCTATTGTAGCAGGAAAAAGCAACCATAGACAACCATAGACAAATCACATTCCACTAAACCTTTATTTACATAAACAGTGCCCCAGAGATTAGTTTGCTAACTTTCCATTTAGAGCCGCCATGTATGAAACTAATCAAATCTTTGAGTTTTCTTAGAGTATATTTTTTGTAGGATAACATCATTCATATCTTGATATATGTCCCTGCTTCTTTAGGTTGCCTTCTTTTAGTACCCTTATTGGGCTACTTGCTACACTGGAACATCCTTAGACATGAATGAAATTGGCTATGTGGAACCCAAAAGATCTGTCATTTGTAGATGAGCAAATGTAGTCTCAGTAACTAAAGTCAGTCATTGATGAGTAGCCAGCTCAGCTCCTCATCTCATTCTCAGAGTTCTCAGCCTTGCTTGTTCTATAAGATTGATCTTATTTAGAGTTGCCTATCAGTTTCCCTTAGTTTATACATGGCATAAAACAAATGCTTTCTCTGGGTAAAATAGCTTTTGATTTCTTTTCTTTCTTTTTTAACATGTGATCCCCAGACACTTTATTGTCCTTATGGTTTTCTTGTGAGCTTTACAGTCCTGCTGATAGCTTCCAAGTGTTTGCAGTTAGTGGAGATGAAAAAGACTATAACTAGGAGTATACCCTATCGTGTGTGTTTGGAGTTATCCAGTGAACAAAACAGCTTTAGTTCCAACTTTAATGGAGCTTAGTCTGGCAAAGATTATTCACATTAAGCTAATGACAGTAGAAGAGAATCTCCCTGTTCATTATAAGGCAAAAGAATAGATAGGCTACTTCATGGTAAGCTTTGAGTTGCTGAAGGGATAGATTCAGTTGTAAAGTCTTCATGAATGAAGGAGGGAAAAGTGACTAAAGCATTAGGTAGTTGAGAAGTAGATGGTAGAAGATGATACTGACTTGAGTTTAGGTGAACAACCACTTTAAAAAGAGTTCAGTCCAAAATAAATAAATGTCCAGAGATGGTTTTGAGATGTGTTTTGAGATGTGAAAAAGTAGCACTGAACTCAAGTTATGTGACTTGTGGAAATCTTATTCTCTTCTTGATAGGTATAGGGTCAACCAGTGTCCTCAAGTAAAGTTCTTTAATAACTAAGAGATGTAGTAAACCTTCAGAGAGGTTTTGGAAGACACGGAAATATAGAGGACTTGAACAAATCCCTGCTTCTCGATTAAAGTGCTTGCTTAACTCACATTTAATATAATTATCCATATGGGTTTAATTCTTTCATTTTTGCTATGTCCTTTTTCTCAATTTTTAAATTACTGCTTTTTTACATACTATATAAATTTTTTGTATACCATTTCAGGTATTTTGCTGACATTTTATTTGTTATCTTGGCTATTTTTAGTGTTTCTTTTGAGATTACCTCATACATCTTTTAATCATAATTTACTTCAAGTCCATACTGACTTATGGCAAAATTAGGCCTTTCTACAGTATAGCACTGTACTTCCAACATACACAAACCCTTTGGGTTATTATTGTTATATATTTGGTATGCATTTACATTATAAACCCAACAAAATGTATTGTAATTTTTGTTTAAGCAGTTATGTTTAATAAGTAAACTGAAGAAGTTAAGTGATGGTCTCTGTAGTTTTATGATTAAGGGGTATAGTTAATCCTCAGTGAAGACTTTAAACATACAGGAAATACATTGGTTTCTTTATGGATCTGGAGACATGGAGGGTACAGTTTAGAGGTTGTGAATCATATTAACATTGGGTGTTACTTCTCTCATTCTGAAGAAATTTCTTTAGTATTTTTGTTGATCAGTCTTGCTAGCAATATAATTTCAACTTTTATTTATCTGGAGATATTCAAGTCTTGCTTTCATTTTTTCAAAAATAGTTTTGCTGGTTATAAAATTTTTACATGTTGAATATGTCATTGTACAGTTGCCTAGTGTCCATTATTTCTGATGAAAGCTGATTTGTTAATTATATTTTTTTAATGAGAAACAGTGCTGATTTTATATATGAATTGTATTCTTGCCTCCCCTCTATGTGATCATCTGTTTTCCCCAATTTAACTGATGTGGGTGGATATAATTCTGTCTTTATATTTGTACTACCAGAAGTTTGTGCTGCAGATTAGTGATTTTCAACTACTCAAGTCTTAGTTTAGTAATTTTCCACCAAACAACATACTTCTATCAATAATAATGTCTCCTGTCTTACCCAACAGAAAATAGACAGGAAAACCCTTATCTTTTCTCTCTGACAAGGAATGTAAGAAAGCTATGTGGTGAATAAAGGTTACTTAAACTCCAAGAAATGTGATGCAAATGATTTCTAGAGGATATAAATTATAAAGACATTTTTTTTGCTTGGTCAGCTATATAAATCTGTGCTCCAGATTGTCTTGTCACAATCTTTTTGATAGTTTGCTTCATTATTCAAAATGTGAAATAATATAAATTATGTAAAAGCCTTATTTTAAAAATTCTTAGTCCTTATGTGTCATGCTTACTATTTCGCTCAGCATATCTCCTTTGGCCAACATATTACTACTGATTGCACTTTTGACTTAGGTACATAGGGTTTTTTGTCTACAACCCCTAAAGTTTCTACGCCAACCCATGTGCAGTTATGCACTTAAGGGTCCTATTTAAGGGTTTGGAGAACAACCTTTTCAAAAGTAGTGTATATATTTGGATAATTCAAACTGACAGACAACATTCTTGAAAATTATTTACAGTTTTCAATGTGAAGATCTCATAGTGAGCTTTGGGGCTCTGAGAGACAGAGGGGTAAGGAGAAAGAAAAATTAACACAGAAATAAAACTAAAAAATTTTGTATCTTTCGAGAAAAGTATGATTTCCATTTGTGGTTCCAGATAGAATTAGTTGTTGCCAGTTTCAGAGCTGTGGGATTTGGACACAAAACTGATTTTGCATTGCTATTCTGTTGTGTGTCATACTTTAGTTGGATACAGAATTTCCTCTTTTCCATAGAATTTTTTTTTAAAGATCTATTTATTTATTCATACAGAACTGGGGTACAGGTCAGAGATGCGGAGGGTGAGAGGATTCACCAGAGACAGAGTGGGGAGCAGAACAGGCAGATGGACGAAGTACACTGCTGAGGGGAGCAGCAGGCGGGTCAGGAGAGGCCTGCCATGCCATGTGGTCACCTAAGGGGCAGGCGGGAATCGAACTCATGCGGAAGTGGCTTTAGATTCTCAGTGCTGTGCTTTAACCCACTGCGCCACCAGGGAGGGCCCTTCCATAGAATTTTAAAAATCAGCATGCCAACAATGCAAAAACATTTGTCTAGATTTTGTCTGTAGTTTATTAGGATTTATAGTAAAATCCTTTCACTTATCTCCACAGCCTACCCCTGTAAATTTTTAATTGCAAACTTATAATGCTTGACATTGGAAAGAAGAGAATGTACACACTCAAAATGAGTCATTTTTGCTGATAGTGTAAGTCAAAATTACATCTTAGAGTGAAAGTACTCCTATAATTTCGGTTTTTGGTCTTGATTTTTTTTCTTATTTTTTCCTGTACTCCTTTACACATGTGCAAGTTCATGTGCACTGCCTGATATTTCTGATGTCACAGAACCTTTACTGGGCTCCATTAATGGTAGCCTTTGGATCCTAAATGTAGAAACAACATAAATGGACATAAAATTGAATGCTTACTAAATGCAAACATTTATTCAGAGAGACCCTATTTGTTATTTAAAATTAATACCTAGAAATTTACTGTACATAAAAGGGGTTAGTCTTATAATAGTAAGACATTCAACTGTCATTGCTTATGCTAATGAGAATAGCATTACTCTCAGTTCTTGAGAGAATGTAATGAGATCTGTATCTCCCTACCCAGATCAAGATTCTTTAGACCAGTCAATATTGAACATCAATGGTTCATTAGAATCACCTGGAGGACTTGTTCAATGACATGTTTGATTCAGGCTGGAGCCTGAGAATTTGTATTTCTAACAAGGTCCCAGATGGTGCTGCTGATCTTTGAAAAGCTGATTATTTACCATGTTAGGTTGAATTTAAGATTGTGCACAGTGGATTTATTGGTGATGGAAACTATTGGTTTCTTAAAAGAGATTTGCTCCCTACCCCCTTGAATTTTATTTAAATCATATATCTAAATATAACATCAATGTTTTGGAACAATTCTGTATGCCTGATCTGTGGTTATGTGAATTAAGTATTCAATACAAAGTTATTCTATTTGGATTATGGCATCTTTGTATTGTGTTGATGTTTAATTACAATATATTTGGTTAAACACATGGAAAATTTATTTAGAAGTGACTCCTGTATTGGTAAAAAAAAAAAAAGCTAAAGATTGAGGGAGTGTCTTCCATGGTGAAAACCCATTACAACTAGACTGACTGGCTGTGGTACTTAAGTATCTGGTAAAACCTGCTTTAGACTTTGGAAGAATGGCTTCTTTTATGTGGTCTAATTGCAGACATTACTAGATAAGGATTTATGCTTCCAAAAATATTTCATTTGGTCAGGCTTACCTGGATGTCTACCAGTAAATTAGACAACCTCATCTTTAACCTTATCTTTGTAAGGAAATATCAACATGTACTATGAAGTAGGAAGTGATTTTAAAATAGTCTTCACTTTATAAAAGAACATTACTTATTAGGGT